ACTTAACTCTTGTTTATATCTATTAGCCTGCATTGTTTTGATTAAAGTCACAGAACCAATCAACAGCATTGCGTGAGGACTCAATACGTAAAACCTTGATTAGCTCGTACATATTGGCAAAGTAGGATGGAATGAGCTAAGTAAGATCTTTTACTGTCTCTACTAGAAACAAAACTGCGTTAAGCCCACTTGTGCTGCTATACCACAGAACACAGACTGGTTTATAAAGAACAGACACTTATTTCTCACAGTTCTGGAGTCCTGAAGCCTGAGATCAGTGCCAGCTTGATGGCGTTCTAGCGAGGGGCATCTTCAGGGTTGCAGACTGCCTGCTTCTCCTTACGTCCTCACATGAGAGGGAACAGCATGCTGCAGAGTCTCTCTTGACTCTTAGAAAGGTCATTAGAAATCCCATAATGGGGGCCACCCTCATGATATCAACTAAACCTACTTACCTTCCAGAGGCCCCACCTCCAAACCATCACATTGGGGACTTAGGCTTCAACACGAATTGGGTGGCACAAACATTCAGTCCATTGCAAAAACTGGGCACATTTTTCTGACTTTAATTTAGTTTTCTTAATTTTGTGCTTTTTATTTTCCCAGATGATTCTGATAAACCTCCACAGTCACCACTCTGGACACCTATGATATGACATAATAAGTTGGTAGGAAATTGGGCTGGACTTTTAATGGCCGTCAGATACTATCTAACCGGGAGGTTTGGGGAGATTGTTGTGCTAATCCCCATTATCCAGTTGTTTTCTTAGGATTTACCTCTTCCTCTTAAAAAAGAAAAAATCTAGCCAACTATGAATTAGGTTAATCTAGAGAGTACCCTGCTATTTCTCTTTTTAAACTTCAGGTCCACTCCTTATAGCATCGTCATCCTAAGTGCTTTTTACTTATGTTGTCACAATCTGTCTGTCTGAGTTCACTTTATATGGTAGCCCTTCCACGAGCTTCCCCCTCTCTTTTACTTTTACTTATTTACTTATTTATTTTATCCTCACTCGAGGATGTGTTTTTTTATTCTAGAGAGAGAAGGAGGGAGGGAGATAAAGTGAAACATCAGTGTGTGAGAAAAATATCTATTGGTTGCCGTCCATATGCACCCTAACTGGTATCAAACCTGCAACCTGGGTTTGTGCCCTGAGTGGGAATTGAACCCACAACCCTCAGATGCTCAGGATGATGCTCTAACCAACTGAGCCACACCAGCCAGGGCCCTCTCTTTATTATCTCGGATTTGTTGTAATAGGCTGCTTTCCAAAATTATTTTTTTATTAAAAAACTTTTTTGCAATACAGTTGACATACACAGTATATTAGTTTCAGGTGTATAACGTAGTGACTAGACATTTATGTAACTTATGAAGTGACACCCTGTTAAATCTAATACCCATCTGACAGCATGCATAGTTATTATAACATTATTGACTATATTCTCTATGCTTTATTTTGCATCCCTGGGACTGTTTTTCGTAACTGGCAATTTGTACATCTTAATCTCTTACCGCCCACCCCCGACCCCAAACTTTGTTTTTCAAGTCAGGTGTTTGGAATATATTTTCTCGTAGAAATGATTATATGGTAGTTAGACTAAAACTTTTCAAAGTAGATTGAAAAGATCCATTAAAACCATTCAGAATTCTGTGGCTGAGTACCATGGTGAGGCCGACGTTCTCATCAGACGTTCTTGCCAAGCATTCCTCCCCCCCCACCTCTCCCTCCACCCCAGCCAGCGTCATACTTCTCTTTAAATGGGAAAAGGCTCCCGGGAGGCAGAAATCCGATAGTGTGGGGAGCCATCTCTCAGCTGCACCCTCTCTTTTTTGCTATTTTGGTGGAGGTCAGTATCTGCCCACTGAGAAGACACAGGCAGGAAGAGCTGTGATTCAGATGAGTTGGCTAAATTTATACACACTAAGTTTATCCATTAAAGGAGCTCTGTATTTATTTTGGGAACATAATAAGAACCCTTGGTCTGAGGTTAATTAACCTGTAATGAGAAGGAGAGCTACTGAAGAGAAGTAAAGAATCTGGCAGTCCATTGAACTGACTTAATTACAAGGCGGACTTTCAAATGAGTATGTTTATGAATCAGCTATATCCATTGATGCTCCCAGAAAAAGCAGACAGAAGGGGCTTGGGTTAGCCTGAGAATTTGATGTGTGGTGATGGATGAGCGGATGCCAATTGCATGAACACTGAATAAAAAAAAAAAGCAACGGGATATTCTTAGGAAGGGAATAGGGGAGCGCATTACAGATAGAGACCAGCATAGTGAGTGCAATGCACCACTGGGCTGCTGTCGTGATTCAAGCACAAATTTCTGACTTACCCTGTAAACTTAGCATATACTAGTACTCTCCCAGATTTGAGGATTGTTCGAGATACGGACAATGTCAGAAGCACCTGAAATCTCCTTCTGCCTGAATTGGCAGAACTGGTGGTGTCTGTATTCGGCTCTAAATGGGTAGGTTGTGGAAATAAATGAGCAGGAGATGGAAGGTCAAGTCTGATAAGGAATTTAATGGGCACTTCATCGTAATCATAAATAATACCATTCCCTCTGTCTTCTCTGCCCCTTAACGTCCATCCGAACTCCCCAGCGATGCTGAAAAGTTGAGAGATTTTTAAAGCTGAAAAAACAAGTCCGGAAACCCTGCTCTTTGGGGGCTAAATAATACGGACTCCTACAGCGCTGCCAGCCCACGTAATGAAACATCCAAGTCTAGGCTGCTGAGCTGGGGCCTCCTGTGTGGCCCACTTCATGGGAATAAATTAGGAGAGCCAGTTGGTAAAACAGTCCCAAGTTTCACCCCCAGGAAGCCTCGGTTTGCTGAAGCGGGCAGTAAATTGATAGCTGGTGCCCGAAGAAGCTGAGATTCATGTCCATTTTCAACCCGTTTGTCCTGCTCTCTTCTCTGTGTCCTCATACTCTCAGACTCAGGAAGCTGCTCCTTACCCCGCTACTCCCAAGAATTCTTGGCAAAGGAGGTAGACTCCCAACCCATAGCATCATTTATCCCAAATCCTGCTTTCTTCTTAAGATCCTGTGTTCCTTCAGCTCTGAAATGAAATGGGTGGTTTCGATGATTTGTCTCACTGCCTCTAGCTCTGAGCCAGCCCAGACTGAAGACAGCGGCCGTCGTGAGACTGACACTGGTGGAGAATGGGTAGCTTTGAAAGGGCCCTTAGGAACCATGTAGGCCCACCTTCTCATTTCACAGATGGGGACGTTGAGGCTCACAGCGGGTGAGTACCTGCTAGAGCCACACGTCTAGTAAGTTATCCATAGGCAAAGGCAGCTTTGGATGTTCAGAGTTATTGGTTAGCACTGTGCATGATTACTCCAAAATGAAATGTAACTGGACATAAGTTTCCCTACTACAAAATGATGCCTTACTTGAGTTTTTTCTTGCCTGCCAAGTTCTCTCTATAATGCTTTTAGTCAAACACAGGAACAGGGCCCTTCATGGGCAAATGCCTTAGAATGTTGTTTCTTTAAAAAAAAAAATGGCCGTGAGTCATACTTCAAAGCTTGGCCAAAAATGTGGTCAGCACAGAATCTCACTAAGTTGTATAGGAGTTCTCTGCGGCTTTCCAGGTCTTTTCTCATTGCTTCAGGTAGGAACTGTTTAACATTCTGAGGAGCATGCGTCCAATTAGCCTATTCCCAGCTTCACAGCACAATATGTGTCTGACTGACTCTGATATCCCCCACCCTTTCTTTACTCCCCTCGTGCAAAGAAAATAATCCTGAAGCTGTATTTTCAGTTGACTCTGTGACCCAGGCTCATTTACCTGTTGGATAAAGTCTACTTTGGTTACGTTAAAAGATTACATTTTGTACATGGTGTTGGTCTCACTTTATTGCCTATGCAGGGATCTTTGATCAGTAGGAGCTTGCCTCTGTGACCTCCCAAGGAAACGTGAAATCTGCCACTGTGGCGTTTTTGCAGCTGTGCAATCACAGATAATTTGTTGACTCAGTGATGGAAAAGGTGAATTGGGTTTGGTTGCAGGGACAGCATAGGGGCAGTCACATAGCCTTTCTCTCTTTTTAAAGAAACTTCCTGTTAAAATTATTTAATATCTCAAATACATAGACAAGTACAAAAAATGATGCAGCACATTCCCTCTACCTGTCCTTGTGAGGTCTACTGATCATTGCATTTTCTAGCCCTCTCACTAGCCTTTTTCTTCATATCCTTATCACCCTCTACCAAATATGTAATTTATTTGTTTCATTTACTATCTTGACGCCATTAAAATCTAAGTTCACAAAGGCAGACATTTCTGACTTCTGGGTTCCCTGCTACTTCCTTATTAACCAGTGTCTGGCGTGGATGTTAGTATTTTCATATTTCTCAATATTGATTGGTTAAGTGAATTTTTCCCCAGTTTGCTTCTTTCTATGAAGTAGAATAGTTTGGGGTTCCCTCCACAACTGTATACCTTTCCTCAAATCAAAGTTCCCTTCTTTCCTACCTCCCCGGAGGTAACCAGTACTGTGAATTTGGTGTTTATAATTTTATGCCTATTTTTATATCTTGGGACATATTTATGTGCACCCATTGACAAATATGGGTGTTTGAGGTATTTATATAAATGTTGGTGTAATCTTTAATGTTGAACTACATGCAGGACTGGGGGGCAGAATGGGGGTACAAACATTCAGGTAAGTCCCGGTATGACTAGTAAGCAGAACTCCCCCCGAACTCTCTTAAAGGAAGATTTTCCATGTTCCTTGAATAAATGCTGAAACAAGTGATGTACCAGACAGCAATTAAGCTTTAACATCAAAGAATGAGCCTGTCTTGGTTTTCTCAAGAGTGTAAGAACTAGATGCATTTAAAGTGTCTGTGCTAGAAAATTGGCCATTTCTTTGCAGTTTCTCCAAGTAAAGGGGTCATAATGGTCCAATCAAGAAATCTAATTATCAAAGTTTAAGTGGCCTGCTATTCTCAGTAAAACTTCTTTTCCTTCCTCCAGTTGAGACGAGAGAAGATTGACCTTGAAAATACTTTGGAGCAAGAACAAGAAGCACTAGTTAATCGTCTCTGGAAAAGAATGGATAAACTTGAAGCTGAAAAGCGGTTTGTTTAGTCTTACTGTTTAATACGGGATTGCGTATGTGGACAGGGTGCTGTTCTGGGTGTGACTGAAGAATAACAATGGGACCTTTAATTCCATGGTTGATGCACGTCATTTAATTTGTCAAATGAAAAACATGTTGAAAGCTTCCTGACCTCTTTTCATGTTGGTCACCTCTTTACACTTTGCTCGCACTAGCCCAGTAGAATTTCTTTCCATTTGGTGTCAGAGGCTATGAAGAAATTAGTCAAGGTGCTATTGTTCACCTTTAAATTGTTCTGAAGGATGGCTATAGTTTCAGCTTTTTTACTTGATTGAGCTGGCTTCCCCAGTTCTTTTCTAAACTGCATAGCGTATGTACTACGTGCCTGCAGTTATATATTTATAAAATGTACTTTGTTAGGAAGACTGAGATTTTGATAGAAAAATTACCATGTAATTGTCTTAAAACTCGCTGCAAAGAAATGCTCGTACACATTTAAGGTTAGCATTCTTTGCGTTAAATGTACGTACATGGATGTGGAATGTCATTCAACGGCAAACATTTCTTGAACCCTCTGTGCAAGGTACTGTCAGGCCCTTATTTCTAAGTGCTGCAGACTTTGGGTAGCTGGAGCCAGGCTTGAAGAATAGCGAGGAGTTCTGTATGAGGGATGTAAGGATGGGTGTAGAAAGGGAGTTTCTTGAAAACGTTCATTAATCCACCTTACAAGGACCTTTTGTTTGCTAACCAGAGTCCTTTTGCCATAAATATTGTGTTTGGATGAATCCATAAATCATTCTGAGTTCATCTCAAGATGTGCAAAATAGAAACATACCACAGGCTTTAAGAAAAGTACAAGTAGAGGCACTGTATATCTACAGGGAAATATTCAAGATGTAGCTGAACCAGCTGTGTTTCCATTATTGTAGCTGTACTAATAGATGGAATTAGGGAAAAATATTTAACATAATAAATGTAGGGATCATTACAACATTTAACATACTGGTTTGCTCAGCTAGAGCCGTTGAGCAAACTCAAAGGTAAAAGTTAAAAACAAAACAAAACCAAAACCACCCCCCAGCAACCTATAAAAGGGGACATGGAGGTCTGTTACCATTCAGTCTCCCTTTGCAGAACACAATCAGTACCAAATTATTGCAGATTATTGGGTTGAGCAATCTGAAATTGACATTTTATAAGTCAAAAGCTGTTGAATAACAAATACGCATTTTATGTGCTTAACGATAATTAGTGGGGAAGGTGGAACTGCCAATTATTAACCTAATAATTTTTGTTTTGTTTTGCTTTTAACTTTTTGCCTTAGCTATGGTCAGAAGCCAAGGGCCTCTCATCAGTTTGCCATGCCCTCAGCTTGGTTTTCAGCAGGGAATTTTATACGTTGAGTCTCTTATGTTATGCCACCATCCACCGAGATTGAAAGTGCACAATTCATAAACCTTCAGCTTTGAGAGAGTGACATTCTGTTAGTATCTCCATGTCCTCAACCAGCATGTCAAACATTTAGTAGATAACTCTGGAGCCTTCTGTATGCCAGACATACTACTTAGAACCAAATGTTAGAGATTATTTTTTAAGGAATGCTTAGTTACCAGTGGCAACTTAAAGGAAGGAAAAGGAGGGTGGGTCCTTCAGCGCTGCCCTTGGACCCGAATACCAGGTCAGGGTGACCAGAAGCTCATGTGAAATGGGCAGAGGAGATCAGCAGCCCTGTGAGTTGGTTCTGCAATTCATTCATTACAGGAGGTTGCTATTAAAACAAGCCCTCTGGGTAGTATGTTTTGTCTTTCAGAGGCAAACAGTTTTTCATTGTTGGGTTTTTTTCTTTTCCGTAAAGAATCCTGCAGGAGAAATTAGACCAGCCAGTCTCAGCTCCCCCATCACCTAGAGACATCTCCATGGAGATCGACTCTCCAGAAAACATGATGCGCCACATCCGGTTTTTAAAGAATGAAGTGGAGAGGCTGAAGAAGCAGCTGAGGGCCGCTCAGTTACAGCGTACGTAGCCTCTGGTTTCCCTGTCTTCTGTCTGCAGAATGAATCCACTTACCAAGTACCAAGGGTTTTACTGACATTTACTGTTTGATTTGTGTTAATCAAATTCGTAATGTATTTCATTACCAATACATGTTTATCCTGCCATCCTGGAATACATTATTTTTTTAAAATGATAGTAGTAGGGCCAGGCACCTAGTTTAGAATTCTTCTAAAAAATAATTCAAATAATTTCAGGGCAATATTTTTAACCTTCTCCCCTGCGTCCATCTCTAGGATTGCAAGAGACCTCAGTATATTTGGGGGGCAGAGATTAGGGTGTTTATCTTCCTGACTGCTAAATTTTAGCCAAAGCTAACATTTGTTCATGGTACTTGAATAAGTGCTTTTGAAATTTATATTTATTATTTTGGAAAAGGTCGGAGTGTTGAGTTGGAAGTCAAAGGAACTAAATTTCTGAATACTTGATGAGATCATTGTGCATTTGTGTGGGTCTCTGCTATTTCTGCTTTTAGGTTGTTCTAATTTATTTGTTCAAATAGGCAATGTAGTAAAAAGGTATGCAGGGGAAAATAAGTCTCTCATTTCTGATCCCAACCACCCAATTCTGACAATTACCCATTTAAAAAGGTTTTTTTAAAGATATGTTTTTACTGATTTCAGAGAGAGGGAGAGAGAGAGAAACATCAATAATGACAGAGAATCATTAGTTGGCTGCCTCCTGCACACCCACTACTAGGGATAGAGCCTACAACCCGGGCATGTGCCCTGACTGGGAATCGAACCGTGACCTCCTGGTTCATGGGTTGATGCTCAGCCACTGAGCAACACCAGCTGGGTGCAATTACCCATTTTTTATACATTTTTTCAAGTATATGTGTTTGTATAAACTTTTAAAATACAAATAGTAGTACAATGAATATACTCTTTTGCATCTTTCTATTTTAACTTACTATATCTTGTAATTTTCCTTGCCAACTTATAGAGATATCTTACTCCCTTTTTTAAAAGGCAGCTTCAGTATTTGATTATTTGGTTACACCACATTTTATTTAGCCAGTCCCATACCAATAGACCCTTTTTGCTGGTGATGCCGTAACTGCAATGAACGTCTGTACACACATTTGATTACTGTTCAAGAACACCTCCAGGGTAAATTTCAGTGATTTCATCTTTGTTTTCTTTTCTAAAATTCATTGTAAGCTCTTATTCAGTCTGGGATGGTGCATCAGGAACCTTTAAAAAACACAATGTGCTAGTTTCCTATTGCTGCTGTAACAAAAGACCACACGCTTAGTAGCTTAGAACAGCACAATTTACTATACAGGAGTGGGCAAAAGTGGGTTTACAGTTGTGAGCACACAAAACAAAAGTTTATTCTTGTATTATTTGTTAGTCATTGCATCATTTTTCATACAGACAACTGTAAACCTACTTTTACCGATGTCTATTTGATAGTTCTGGGGTCTGAAGCTCAGAAGAAGTCTTACTGGGCTAAAGTCAGGGAGTCAGCAGGAAAAGGCTTAGAGGGAGAATCCATTCCTTTGCTTTTTCCAGCTGGATGCCTGCAGGCTCTGGCTCATGGCCCCTTAGTTCCATTGGCTTCACTTCCACCTCTGCTTCCATTGTCACACCTCCTTTTCACTCTGACTCTGCTTCCCCTTATAACAGTGGTTCTCAACGTCCTGGCCCTTTAAATACAGTTCCTCATGTTGTGACCCAACCATAAAATTATTTCCGTTGCTACTTCATAACTGGAATGTTGCTACTGTTATGAACCGTAATGTAAATATCTGATATCAGGATGGTCTTAGGCGAGCCCTGTGAAAGGGTCGTTCGACGCCAAAGGGGTCGCGACCCACAGGGTGAGAGCCGCTGCCTTATAAGGACCTTGTTGAGCCCAGCCAGATAATCCAGGACAAATTCCCATGTCAGAGTTTTTAACTTAATAACATCTGCAAAGTCCCTTTTGCCACGTAAGGTCACATATTCCCAGGCTTTAGCAATTAGGATTTGGATATCTTTGGGAGTCCGTTATTCTGTCTAACTCGATACAGGTCTCTAGCCTTCCTGTAGGAGTAGAGCCTGGCCCTCTGTTTTTTTAATGTAGGTAATGCTGACATATACTCTGGGTTGAGAACCACTAAATATATTTCATGAAAACAAGTCAAGGAGCTCTCAAATATTAGTTATTTTAGGATGTTTTTTGAGTTGTTGGTGTGTTGGGCACACAGTGTCCTTTAGCACCTTTCTGAATTCTTTCCAGTGCCATCAGCTTGCATTTTTCTTGCTCATGTATGCTTGCCTTGTGTCCCAGACAACGTTTTTAGAAGAAATTTGGGAAGAATTTTTCATTCCCATTACTTCCATCCTACTGCACTATTTGGTCTTTGAAGAGACTGCAGATACCACCAGAGGCACCCATCAGTGTGGGGACAGAGAAAGCCGAACCGAACAGCTGCAAGTGGCCGTCAGCCGCTCACAAGTGGTTTGGATTGGGTTTAGAGGATGAGTTAATAACTTTTCCTCATCCATCTACCTCACTCATCCTTATCCTCCAAGTCCAATTGATCTGAACTTGAAGCTCTCTCCCAATAGTTCTCAACTGTGGTTGAACATTGGAATCCTGGGGAGTTTTTAATAGACCAGTGGAGAGTCTTCATCCTCGAGGTTCTGATTTCATTGATTTGGGTGGGGTCTGGGCATCGGTATTTTCTAACCATAAACTTGAAAGTGAAGGCAGACTGTGAAGGTCACCTTTGGATTATGTGGAAACCACCTCTTTGGACTCTGACTAGAAGTCAGTCTCAGTTGACTATCTTGGACTAGATATTGCAAGATGGCTGAAGATAGGGGGTGCATAAACTGTGGCCCCTACGTGTTAGGGAGCTCTGCATGAGGGAAGGTAAGAGCTGACTTCTGGAAGTAAGTCTAGTCTCTTGAAATCAGGTGTGGTGGTGTGCCAGCAGAGGGTACCCAAGGAATGACATCTTTCTGTGCCTGGGTCAGTAACACCCAGAAGTTTTGGACCTGGTTGGTGTCTTCTCTATGCCTCTGGCTCCCCTGGGGTTTTGTTTGTTTGTTTTAAGTAATAGTTTACTGATTTTTAGCAAGGGAGAGGGAGAGGGAAACATCAATGTGAGGCTGTGACATCAAATGGCTGCTTTCTGCATGCCCAATACCAGGGATCAAGCCCACAACCCCGGCATGTGCCCTGACCGAGAAACGAACCTGCAACCTTCTGGTGCACTGGACAACACCCAACCAACTGAGCCACACCAGCCAACGCTGGCCTGTTAACTGCTGAACAGCCAGGAAGGCTTCCAGCCATCACTCCTGCTGACCGGCTTTCTTGTCTGTAGATTATTGTTTTAGGATTCCCCCTGCTGATTTCCCCAGATGTGAAAGCGTTGCCGTTTCCTTTGAAAAACTGTTTCCTCTTAACTGATCATTCTTGAAGTCTCATCAACCCTCAGTTCTGCGAAGCTTTCTTTCCTATTTATGGAAAAGAAAGGCAGCTTGCTCTGCCAGCGCCCTTCTGGTTCTGGAAACAATAAGTACTTCAAGGGGCCAATCTAATGCTTCCTGGAGCACTGCTGAGAAACGCTGCGCCCGGGCATATTTGGGATGGAGTAATTTAAATCGTGTATATTAAAAGCGTGCTTTGTAAATATTTTCCCAGCATGCCTTCAATTAAAGGGACTTTCGCAACTGGATGAAGCAGCAGGTTTTTGATTATATTGAGAACAACGGAGGGATCTAGTGTTGAGTGTCCATAATAGTGTTCATTAATTTTGGTGTTTTTATTTAAATTTCTAAAATAAGGATATCCTGTAGCTTTTATGTGTTCTGTAATGATGATGTCTTAGAAGTCATGGGATATTTATCCTCAAAAGTCATTATTTGCTAAAGCACCAGACCTTCCTAGAGTTGCTTAAAACTGAAACTAATTCGATGGACTTGGGAGTTGAAATAGGGTCTGTTTGTGGCAGAAAAATGGCCAATGTGGCATTCCGCTCCTTCCTTCTTAAGTTTGGAACGGGCTGGAACTATAGAGCAAAACCTGTAGAACTCTCTCAGACGTGATCGTGGCCACTTTGACTGGGTAGCTGTTTTTCAGAATAGAGAAGTAGATATTACCCCTCCCCCCCCCTTTTTTTTTGAGGTTTTACTTTTTCCAAACTCATGGCTAAGACAGGGAAAAGGAAGAAGCAGGAAGATGGGTAGACACTGAGTTTTGTGTAAGGTTATTTTGGTTCCTTAGTAACAACAGATTCTGTCTGAGGTAAACCAGAAAAAGAGCGGGGAGGTCATGTGATGCCATTTATTGGAATGTGCCAGAATGCTGCCCAGAATAACCTCACAACGGTGGGGCTTGCGAACCAGGGACTCAGCAGAAGGAGATTCTAGAGCCTCGTGAAGGTGTCCGTTCTGCATTTCAGGAATCTGGGAGAGAGAATCCGACTAGGTCCAGTGTCTACCCCGGGGCTAGACAGCTCTGGCTGGGAGATGATGCTGGAGTGGAGGCCTCAACAGGTAGCTGTGGGCAGCAGTAGGTTTACAGTTGTAATACAAGTAAATAATACAGTAATTGCAAACTGCTAACACAAGAATAAACTGTTTCACGTGCCCACCGCTGTGAACCTACGTTTGCCCACCCCTGTATGGCCAGCTCCTCAGGAAGGGGTATTTGTCATAACCAAGGTGCCATCCCAAGAGCCGGGCTGTGTGCAGGTCTTTACCTGCTCTCTGACTCGGGACGGCTGTGAGTGAGTCACAGACACACACACACACACACACACACAATCAAAATTAATCTTATTTGAAACATGAAAGTTGTTTACTATGTCAATTTCTACTTTTTAAAAGGGAATTATAACCGTTACCCAGCACGCTATAGCTCACTGGCTCTCAGGGCGCCTCCACCGCAGTGCGCCGTGGGTGTGCTGACAGTGTGAAGGCTCCGTAGGTGACTTGCCACGCTGTGTCTGGAGTTGAGGGGCAGCAGAAATGGTGCCCAGAGGGCAGCCTGTGGGCTGGTTCTGTTTCCCTGATGGAGCCCCCTCCCCTCAGAGCTCCAGGAATGCAGGAAGTTCTGGTAGCTGCTAAGTCCAGATTTAGCTGCACCTCTACCATTTCCTCCTCCACCTCAGGCCCCTTAGAAGGCAAGGGAGTGGGGGTGAAGATGCCTAAACTCCCAACACTGCTTTTTGTATTTTTGTCTAAATGCAGATCATCGGTAAACGTTGGTGCTCGGGGTAAACTTTAAATCCAGATTTAAAGTATGAGAGAGCGAGGACTCCTGGCTTGAGGCAGTTCTCGTCTATAGCCCAGGAGCTGGAGTGCCGGTGTCTTGGTCAAGGTTTATGTGTGAGTGAGTGAGTGAGTGAGTGAGTGCGTGCAAGGGCCACGTTTTCATTGAGAACTCCGGCTTTTCAGACTCAGAGAAGATGGCGCAGTATCTGGAGGAGGAGCGTCACATGAGGGAAGAGAACCTGCGGCTGCAGAGGAAGCTGCAGAGGGAGATGGAGAGGAGAGAAGCCCTCTGTCGACAGCTCTCCGAGAGCGAGTCCAGCTTGGAAATGGATGACGAAAGGTGTGCACTGGTCTTATGAGCCTTGCTTATTTGTTTGTTTTTGGTTTATTTTAACAAAGGCTCTAAAAGGTCTCTGTTCACATCCTGTTAGATGTGGAAGGGGATGGCTCTAACATTTATTTGGTGTGATGATGAACACCGCTGCATCAGAGTAGATGCTGAGAATGGGGGACATGAAGTGACCATTTCCCTTAAACCCAAAAAGATAGGTGGGGAAATGTCCTTCCCAGAATTATTTGGTAGGGGGAGCAGTGGAGGCAGGGTGGTGTGTAGAGAGGCTAGTTCGCATGTTGGTGAACGGGTCTGATCCTGGGTTATGTCTGTTTAAAGCCTGGGAGCGCTTGAAGTTGTAGATGCAGGTAGGCGAGCCCTGGCACAGCCCGAGGAAACGCACTCACAGGGTGAAAGAATTAGCAGGAGACAGGAGGTTGTTGAAAGCCAGAGGCCTTGCCTTAACATTCTTGGTAACTTTTGAGCCTTTTTGCAGTTACTTTAAAAAAATAATGCACTGCATTTATCTGCGGAAGAGTATCATCAAGCCCCCCGATTGTCCCACTGAGAAATGGGCTGAAATAAGAGTTAGCCTTTGGTTAACCAGAGAAAGTGGTATCAGCATTTCTCTCTCATCAGACTTTCCTCTTTCTCCCCGCTACCTCCTCCTTCCCCTTTCCACCCCCGACGCTGGGAGTAAGGTGACTGTGAAGATAAGCAGCACATTCACTTTAGAAAAACTGCCGAGTCAGCAGCGAACCCCAGCAGTTGGGGCATTAGCCTGCCTCAGAACCAGGTGATTTCTGCAAGGAGATTTCCTGTTCTGGATCAGGGGTGCCCTGGCCTTACTTGGTCGGTATCGCAGTGTGGGAGGTGGGACCGAGCCTCCTCTGGGCCCCTCCACAGGCCGAGGAGCCCGTGCCTGAGACCAGGGTCTGCTAGTGCCGGGGATGTCAGAACACGCTGCTTGAGAGTATGTGGGCAGTGTTTACACAGCAGCACTCTGCTTTTGTTTCTGCTGCTGACTAGATCCAGGGCGCTAACAAGGCTTCGGGCCAAATTGCTGTGGACAGTGGTATTGTCATTTCAAGAAAAGTTTGAGATTTTTCGGTAGTGAAGGTCTATAATTTTATAATTTCAAAAAAGGATAAAAACAGAGTAATGGGGCATCCTAATTAAAGAATCTATGTATATGCTTCCTCGTGCGAATAGAAATAAAGAGTATTCGGTCTCAAAAGTTTGTATAAAATTATTCTTACCTCTGAATTTCATTGATTTCTTTCTGATAGTGTCCCATTCGCTCTGAAATTCTTATCCTCTGAAAACCATTGGGATTAAAAAACACATCAGCCCTATAAACTACTTTATTAACTACTTTGAGGCACTGAGCAGACTGTCTGTTCGCACACACGGGACCCTGTGCTTGATCTTGAGCCAGATGCGCTCTGGAATTTCCTCCAACTGTGGTGACACGACTACAGCTCCTTCAGGCTCCAGATGAACATTTTTTCCCAGAACTGGTATCCACGCCAGAAGATTTGCTTTATCTTTTGCACGTCAGAGTATTTCAGGCAGAGTACAGCTTCCTAATAAAGACATCATCCCCTTTCCCTACCGGGAATGATGATACCACATTTGGGAGAAAAAAAAAATAGACACTTGAGGCATCTACAAGTGTGTTTATTCCTCAAAAACCAAGAAGCCGTCTTAGCTGCTGGCTGGATGGTAGCATACAAGAAGTCCAGCCTGTGCCTCCGTGGGGGCTGCTCTACAGAGCAGAGAAGAGTCAGTGGTGGGTGTCTAGGTGAGAGGTGTATGTCAGACTCAGCAGCATGGCTTTCTTCCTGTCGAGTAAGCCAGCGTAGCAATGACAGCGCTAAAGTTCCGCTCGTGAACTGATTGAGTATCAGGGCTGAGATCTTCCCCGGGACACAGATCCCAGCCCGTTCCTTCCTTTGGCCGTGAGGCCTGTGGAAGATAACTTACTAGGACGTCTCTCACACAGTAATTTCTCCTCTGTCACATCCTATCGTGTGACTTTGTTAATTAAGAAGGCTTGCCTTGTACAGGATCAACATTTGGTTCACAGGAAGACGTATCTTTAAGCTTCAATTTGATCACACAGACCCCAGAGGGCTTGTTTGGGTTTGTTTCAAAGAATAGTTTAAATGTGGCCATTAAAACACGGATGTCTCTCTAATTCTTGTGACAGTAGAGGTGGAGTCTCTATAGCTGCTGTGTGATGGAGAGAAGCCCGGCCTCTCTGTTGTGTCCCTAGGTCCCCCTGCTGAGCTAGGAGCTCCAAATTCCCCAACCCAAGCCCTGGGGAGAGGTTTGCTGAGCAGTGACTCGCAAGAGCCCATGTTCATAGGTGTCTCCTAGCTACAGCATCGCTCTCTACACACTGGGATGTGAACCCCAAGCATTTGCTCATCAGAGCTCTCTTAAGAACTGTTGACATGCAGGCGGTGCTGATCATCTCCCCCTTCCTCTTAGGTGTTTTAATGAGATGTCTGCGCAAGGACTAAGACCTCGCACTGTGTCCAGCCCGATCCCTTACACTCCTTCTCCAAGCTCAAGCAGGCCCATCTCCCCGGGTGAGTACCTGTGCTCGCTGCTTCTGGGACTGATTTCTGGTACGTTACTAGGCATCCCTGAATGTGTTCCCTTTTATCAGATAAAAGTCTTGTAAACAGAGAAGAGGGTGGTCATGTGTTTTTGAGAAACATAAAAACAAATCACTATCAAGACTGAGTCCTAGCTTGTAGTTTTTTTTTTAAATCCTCACCCGAGCATATTTTTTCCATTGATTTTCAGAGAGAGAGTGGAAAGGAGAGAGGAGAGAGAGAGAGAAACATCGACAACGTGAAAAACATCTACTTGGTTGCCTCCTGCATATACCCCTATGGGAGGGGCAGGCACGTGCCCTTGACCAGAAATTGAACTACAACTCTTTGGTCTACAGGCTGATGCTCTAACCACTGAGGAAACCAGCCAGCGGCCAGGGCTTAACTTGTAATTTTTAAGCGTAAATGTTATAGTGGGAACTGGTGTTTCTCTCTCTCTCTTTTTTAGTCTAAAAGGAATTTAACTCCCCAAACTGTTTTTAAAAGACTGTCTTTGTCTGCAATTTTAAATGCTGATGCATTGACAAAACCCTGAGTAGATTTTTAAGATGCATCATAGCATATCCTTTTTATTTTTTTAATAGGTTTAAGATTTATTGACTCACTAACATGGGAACTAATAAGATGGTGATGCTGCTTCAAAGAGCACTTTGAGGACCTGGGTATTTATAAATACATATATAAGGACAGTGAAAATAGCACATATTTTATGGCTTTTTCATTATGTTCTACCTATATTATCTAATTTTTGTTCACCAAAGAGTTAACCTAGGCACTGTTTTTCCCATGTTAAAATTGAGGATGCAGTGAATCGGAAGCTACTAGTCTCATGGCCAGAAAATGGTGGGGAAGGGCGTGTCTTGTTGCAAAGCCGATGTTGTGTTTATTGATTTCAGAGAGAGGAAGGGAGAGGGCTAGACAGATAGAAACATCGATGAGAGAGAAGCGCCGATCAGCTGCTTCCTGCACACCTCCCACTGGGTTCTTTGAGAGCTATTTTCAGTGGATCATGAGTGGGACTCGGCCCTCGTACGAGGCCATGCAGAAGGAGCTGGCTTTGCTCCTCAGAAGCCTCTCCCTCAAAGGCGTGCTTGTCTTCATCTGACCCCAAAAACTCTCCCCAGGGTCTCTGGCTCCCGGACCAGCACAGCATGGGGCTCTCAGGCTGGGAGGGCAGGTAAACGGTCCAGCCAGGCAGAACAAGGAAGCAGCGGGGCCAGGACGATTGGCTGGCGAGTGGAGGGGAGGAAGGAATGAAAACGTAGCAGCCAAAGGTTAAGTCTTGTGACTGACGTGAAGAGACTGAACTTGTGCTTGCTGCTAAACAGATTTTAAACAGGTGGGGGGGAAGGGTGTGTGTGTGTGTGTGTGTGTGTGTGTGTGTGTGTGTGTGTGTGTAGTGGGGGGAGTGGAGAAGGAGTGACTGCTTGGAAGGGGAATGGCAGTAAAGGTCTTGTGGTTTGGGAAAGTAAACAAGCCTCATGTTAGGGTGACCTCTCCTATTGTCTGTTCTTGAGGTTGGTAAAGGGGAGGTGCTGCAGCAACGCAGGTAGCCAGAGGGAAAGCGCGAGGTAGGAATGGCTTGGTTTTGTGAGTGTAGGACCCAGCCCAGCTCTGTGACGCTGTGGGTTGCTCGTTTTTAAGAGGTGAAATCAAAAGCCCTACAACCAAGCGTGGCTGTGGTGGTGCGCTCCCAAATGTCCAGCGTACTGTCTCTGGCAGCCAACCGCATAAAGAGAGGCTGTTTGCAGACAAAAACAACTTTCTATCTGGATCTGTGTCATGGTCATCACTTCTGTTCCTGCCCAGAGGATATTCCTGAAACTGTTTCTCCTACTTCCCAGTGGCCTTTACTTCTCTCCCAAAGTTTCCCTTCTTAGCTGCTTCTCAGTGTTCCCCAAAGAGCATTTGGGTTTCATTACCATGATAAAGGTCTTTATTGCTTCCTCATTTACTGACCTAAAAGGAAGGCATGACATAGGAAGAAGCAAGATGGAGAGTAGCTTTTATGGTTGGTGGGTGATGCCGATTCATATTACCTGTAGTTTAATGTTCTGTGTATTTAAGCCTAAAGAAATCTTTAGAGGCATGTAATTTCCAGTTCATTAAATATAATGTTGTGGTCATTGACAAATAAAGTCAGACCTTTGTTGGCAACATTAAACTTCTCTTATAACAAGTGTTCTGAAGAAGATATACTATTTTCATAATTTTGACTTTCATCACACCCTGTCCCTATAGTGTGGGGCTTGCTTGTATAAATAAGCTATTTGGTTTCCCCTTAAACTACATAATAAATAACACCAGGATTTTTTTTTCTTTTATCCAGGCTAAGAGAGAATATTTGTATCCTATTTTAAGTTCTATAATATCATCAAAGTAGACTCTATCTCCTGTTTGGCAGCAGAATTACTCCTATTCTAGTCCATTGCAGTCCTATTTTTCATGTGTTCTTTTCACTTTCTTTTTTACATTTTATATTTATTTATTTTATCTTTATTGTTGAAAGTATTACAGGGGTCCCCCTTTGCCTCCCTCCCCCCCAGCCCCCGTTGACCCCCTCCACCTAGCTCTTGCCCCCTCCCCAGGCCTTCACTGCACTCTTTTTTTAAAAAAATATATATTTTATTGATTTTTTACAGAGAGGAAGGGAGAGGGATAGAGAGTTAGAAACATCGATGAGAGAGAAACTTCGATCAGCTGCCTCCTGCACACCCCCTACTGGGTATGTGCCCGCAACCAAGGTACATGCCCTTGACCGGAATCGAACCTGGGACCCTTGAGTCCGCAGGCCGACGCTCTATCCGCTGAGCCAAACCGGTTAGGGTTCACTGCACTCTTGTCTGTCCATGGGTTATGCATACATGCATATAAGGTCTCTGATTAATCTCTTCCTGAACCCCCACTTCTCTCACTTTGTTTTTTGTGGGGGGGGGGGGGACTTTGTGGTTCTCAGAGAATCACTCCTTAGTGGGATGATGCTGTTCCTGCAGTTTTTATTTCCACTTTAGGCACGTTGGTTCTTCTCCCTCCCTCACCATTCGACATTGGCAGTCTTGCATTTTCACCAGCTTGTTGAGATATGTTGAATCCTGTTTCACAATTTGAAAGGTAAATTTCCTAGAACTTAGGAAAGATCTCCTTGTTCATTATATGTGGACTTGTATATGTGGATTAGCTGTGGGGAGAGTGTTTTCCAGGTCGTCCATTATTTTATACAGACTAAGAAAGAGACATTCCCAGTTAGTATATTTTCATGTGCCTTCATCAGGGTGAGGAATAATTAAGTTTCAAAAAGGGTGTGCACCCCACCCACTGCCCACCATGCACACCCACATGGTTTCTAATCCCATTCTCCAGTGATTGCCAGGGTGTATGCTGAATGAGAAAAGCTAGCTTCAAAGGGTTACATACTGTGTGATTTTATTTCTATGACGTTCTCATTGTGACAGAATCACAATCCTGGAGAGCAGATTGGTCCTGGCCAGGGGTTAGGATTAAAGGGACTAACTCAAAGGAGTTTCTTGGTGGGTGGTGATGGAGCAGTTCTGTGCCCTGGTTGTGGTGGCAGTGACCCGAATCTGTACATGTGAAGAAACTACATTGAGCTGTACACATACATACACACACAAAGAATACAGTAAAGCCAGATGACATCCAAATAGTCGTCACCTGTATTGGAGCAATGCCAGTTTCCTGGTTTTGATAATGTGCTGTGGTTATGTAAGATGTCATTCAGGGAAGCTGGGGGAAGGGTACATGGGAACCCTGTAGTATTTTTATAGCTTCTTGTGAATTGTAAATTATTTTAAAATAACTTATAATAAAAAAAGCGAAATAGTTTAAAAAGAGGTTCAAATAGCAGAGAGCTACCAGCTTGCAGAGCTTGTGAGGTGGGCCTTCATAAGCTGGCACTTACTGAGCCTTCACTTGGTGCCTGGCACTCTCAGCATTTTGCAATATTAACTCATTTCATCTTCACAACAACCTTGAGAGGTCACTCCGATAATCTCATTTTACAGTTGAAGGAGTAGAAGTCCACAGTGGCTCAATGCCAAGTGGCAGAACTAGATGCTGAGGTAAGGTGGCAGTCGGCTGTGGAGTCTGGGCTCTTGGCCTCTTCCAGGAGGCTGCGTGAGGTCCTGATTAACCTGGGTGGGGGTTGAGGAGTAGGAGGATTAGTTACTAGTAAGTCCTGTGTGAAGAGAAGCTATCCCAGGCAAAGGGCACAGTATGAACTGAGATGTGGAGGTCAGAATCAAGTGATAAATAAGGTCACTGTGATTCTTCACACCTGCTGCCCTGGGACCCTGTTCCCCATAGATTCTGATTCATTTGATTTGGGTTGGTCGAGGGCTTTGATAACCACTGACCGGGAACATCAAGAGATAGTTTGGAGCCAAATGCATAGGCCAAAGAAGAGAATTATAATAGCCAGAGAGGAGAAGTTTTTTAAATTTAGATAAACAGTAGGAGTCTTTGAAGATTTTTGATTAGCAGTTTAACATAATAATAAACCTTATAATACTAGAAAATAAGCTGGGAATTATTTTTGTTATTATGAATTGAACCTTCCGAGCTTCTCTTACCTGGGATAAGAATCCACTTTTACAGTATTTCTCTTAAATTTCGCTGCTTTCATAAGAAATAGACTTAGGATTGTATATTCCACAAAGCTGTTCAAAGAAAACCTCTTCTTCCCGCTCCCTGCATAAACATCACAGGGAATGGCCACGTAGCTCCCAACGCCTTGAACTTTACCCCCAGCCTCCATTTTGTAAGCGTGGGCCGAATATCCACAATCAGAAATGGAAATAGATCAAACAGAAAGCAGCACCTATTGCTAGTCAAACCAAGAAATAAAGCAAACCCTTAACCGTGGATGTGGCGGCGCAGCAAGTTCCGGGACAGGACAGCTACAGGTGGGCTTAGTGGCTCCATGTCGTGGCTACGTTTTCCACATGTTGTACAATGTGGGAAAGCTTCCCCAACTGCTTCTGGTTTTTTTTTTTTTTTTTTTTTTTTAAATATATTTTATTGATTTTTACAGAGAGGAAGGGAGAGAGATAGAGAGTTAGAAACATCGATGAGAGAGAAACATCGATCAGCTGCCTCCTGCACATCCCCCACTGGGGAAGTGCCCACAACCCAGGTACATGCCCTTGACCGGAATCGAACCCAGGACCCTTCAGTCCGCAGGCCGATGCTCTATCCACTGAGCCAAACCGGTTTCGGCTGCTTCTGGTTTTGATGTAATTCAGAAAAGAGGCAAGCAGAACTCGCTGCAGAGCTTTGCACCTTCAGGCTATTCAATGGAGAAAACACAAGCCCTACCGAGAGTTCATGTTGCTTGGCATCCAACAGCTGATCTTGGAAACACAGTGATTGACAGTAGATATTTCTACCCAAACTCCCCAAATTGCTCCTTTGTTTCCGTTTTTACTGCATTCATTCATATGGAGCTTGACCTGTGCTAGAGACCCTGGTAGATGCTGGGAACACAAAGATGTAAAGATAGCCACGTTTACGTAGTGATAAGTAAGTGATGCTCTGGACCACCGGACCAACAGCACCAAACGAGAACTGGCCAGCGCTGCTTGACTGCACGTGGGTGATGACCACGTTAGGAATGCTCGGAAAAAAACAACTGTTAGGACCTCGACCCAGCCCTATCTAATAGTGAGGGGAGTCTGGGCACGCACTTGTAGAACACTTGGAGATCTTTCTCGGGTCTTAGGTGGAGACTGTAGAACATTACAGTGCGCGGGGGCTTGTTTCTTCCTTGAATATCAGTTTCTTTGGGGAAACATTGACATATATAGGGCTTTTGTTTTCTTCATTGAGTATCCTGCGGTTGCAAAGTTCTGTGGTGGTTTTTGTTTGCCTTACGGCCGATCGCACCTGTGCATGAACACACACAGTGGTTTTGTCTCATTATTTTTCCTGGCAAGGGTTCACTTTGTTTTTTAATTGGGATAAGAACACTTACCATGAAATCAACCCTTTTAACAAATTTTTAACTGTATATTACACAGTGTTGTACAGCAGATCTCTAAAACTTATTCTTGTATAATTGAAACTTTTGCCCATGGAACAATTCCCTATCTCTTCCTACCTCCAGCCCCTGGCAACCACCTTTCTCCTCTCTACCTCTATGAGTCTGACTTAGATACCTCATATATGTATTTGTCCTTTTGTGACTGGCTTATGTTAGCACTAGTGACCCAGTGCATGAAATTTGTGCACGGGGGTGGGGGTGTCCCTCAAGTCCGGCCTGCACCCTCTCCAATCTGGGACCCGCTCGGGTGATGTCTGAAACCGGCAGTCGGACATCCCTCTCGCAATCTGGGACCACTGGCTCTTAACTGCCTGCCTGCCTGATCGCCCCTAACCACTCTGCCTGCTGGCCTGCTCACCCCAACTGCCCCCCCGCAGCCGGCCTTCTCACCCCCAATTGCCCCCCCCCCCCCGGTGGCCTGCTTGCCCCCAACTGCCCTCCCCTCCTGACCTGCTTGCTCCTAACCACCTCTGCCTCGGTCCCACCACCATGGCTTTGTCCGGAAAGACGTCCGGAAGGTCTCCTGGTCTAATTAGCATATTACCCTTTTATTAGTATAGATAATGTCTTCAAGGTTCATTCGTGTTCTCTTTAAAAAGAATTTTCTTTTCAAGGCTGAAGAATATTTCATTGTACGTATACATTTTCTTCATCTGCTCATCTATTGATAAGATTTAGGTTGTTTCTATATCTTGGCTACTGTGAATACTGTTGCAGTGAGCATGGGGGGCACAAATTGCTTTTCAATATCCTGATTTGATTTCTTTGCTTAAGTGCCCAGATATAGGATGGCTGGGTCAGATGGTAGTGCTGTTTTTAATTTTTTGAGGAAATCCATACTGTTTTCCATAGTGGCTGCACCATGTACATTCCTGCCAGCAGTGCACGATGGTTCAAAGTTCTCCACATTCCTTGCCAACATTTACATATATATTTTTTTAAATTTTATTGATTTACTTACATATTTATTTTTAAAATCTTTATTGTTGAAAGTATTACAACATTGACTCCTTCTAGGCCACTCTGCCCTCCTCCCCTCCCCAGGCCTTCACCACACCATTATCTGTGTCCATGGACTATGCATATGTGCATACAAGTTCTTTGGTTGATCTCTTCCCACCCACCCCCGCCTTCCTTCTAAGATTTGACAGTCTGTTCCATGCTTCTGTGTCTCTGGATCCATTTTGTTCATCAGTTTATTTTGTTCATTAGATTCCACATATGATTGAGATCATGTGATACTTGTCTTTCTCTGTCTGGCTTACTTTGCTTAGCATAATATTCTCTAGGTCCCTCCATGCTGTCTCAAAGGATGAGATCCTTCTTTGTTTACTGTCGCATAGTATAATAGTCATCCTAATAGAGGTGTAAGGTGCTCTCTCGTTGTGGTTTTGATTTGCATTTCCCTGATGATTAGTGGCGTTAAACATCTTTTTATATGCCTATTTGTCATTTGTAGGTCATCTTTGGAGAATAGGCCTTTGTCCATTTTTTAATCGGGTTATTTATTTATTTGCTATTGAGTTGTAGGAGTTCCTTATATATTTTGGATACTAATTGCGGATCTGAGTCATGATTTGTAAACTTTTTTTCACATTCTGTAGGTTACCTCCATTGATTGTATTCTTTGCTGAACAGAAGCTTTTAGTTTGATGTTTATTTTTGCTTTTATGGCTGTGTTTTTTGTGTCATATCTGAAAAATTATTGCCAAGACCAATATCAGAAAGCCTTTCCCTGTTTTTTTCTTTTAGGAGTGGTACAGTTTCTAGTGTTACATTCAAGTCTTTAATCCATGTTTAGTTGATTTTTGTGTGTGGTATAACATGGGGGTTAGGGGTCCAGTGTCATTCTTCTGTATGTGGGTATCCAGTTTTTCAAACACCATTTGTTGAAGAGACTACCCTTTCCCCATGGTGAATTCTCAGCGCTCTTGTTGAAGATCGTTTGACCATGTATGCATGGGATTATTTCTGGTTCTCTGTTCTGTTCCAGGGCTTGACTTTTACATCCCTTGTCACCCAGCAGGCCATTCTCTTAGCCCATTGTGTACCTCATCTATTTTCATTTTTGTGGGTGACTGAGAACTTCTGCACTTTGGAGCCTCCTAGATGGTCAAGGACAACAGATAATTTGAGTTTGAAATAATGCTTACAAGGTCTTGTTATATTTCAGGTCTGTCATATGCAAGTCACACGGTTGGTTTCACGCCACCAACTTCACTGACGAGAGCCGGCATGTCTTACTACAATTCCCCGGGTCTTCATGTGCAGCATATGGGAGCATCCCACGGCATCACAGTGAGTACCATGTGGTGGGAAGCAGCACTTACCCCAGATGGTGGTCTCACTGGTCCTCCTTAGGAGACCAGGATCGATGCCCTTAGACATTCACCATGCTTCCTCCCTCCCTCCCTTCACCAGTTCACCTTAAAAACTACATAGAGACTTCCTAACAGTCTGATACCGAATTCTGGTGTTGACACTAAAATCTATCCCTGAAGCAAAATTTCAACTTCGCTTTCCTTGAAAAATCACTCTTGTGAAACTTACTTTGAACTCTGGCCAATGCCTTGATTGAACTCTGGCCAGCTCCTTGCCATAACCAATTACTGTTAGTTGCCATAATGTCTAGAATATTTATTGTCTGCACCTTCACAGTTCACTGGCCCTCAATATGCTTTCTGAAATTAGCTTTGTTTCTAGTTTCACGCAGAATTTTTCCTCCTGAAATTAGAAGGAACCTCAAGTGCATCTGGTTCAAACCTCACTCAGGGGACCTTTTTTTCTTTAGAACTGGTTATTTAGTTGGCTAATAGAGCAATTGGAAATGTAGCTAATAGGGGTTTGAGAACAAGACTGCATTCAAGCTATTCCCAGTAAGGAAATCTTTAAACAAGAAACTATTCTTCAAGAGCATTAAGGTTTTTCTGAAGCTGTTCTGCTGGTTTGAGGGCTCTGTGTAAAAGCAGGAACGTTTTTGGTTTAGCTTGAGCTTTTAGGATATTGAAAACTTTTGTTAGTGCTAATGTAAGGGAGATGTGACAGCTCTGCCTTACTTTTAGGACTGATTTATTGAAGGGGACAAGTCCAATACTTTGGTCAAGGCAAGTTTCATAGTGTTTTTGCTTTTTCATAGGTGTTAGGCATAAACCTGACTTTGTTGGAGTTTTCATTACTAGTTTAGAAATCAGTAGGGATGGACAAGGAAATCGCTGGTCAGAATTTCACTGGCCTCAGCTCTTGAGAGCTGTGGAAGAAATGAATTGTCTGTCCCTAAATTGACCTACTGCTCCTGTCCTTTCTACAGAGGCCTTCGCCACGGAGAAGCAACAGTCCTGACAAATTCAAACGGCCCACGCCGCCTCCGTCTCCCAACACACAGACCCCGGTCCAGCCGCCTCCGCCCCCACCTCCACCACCCATGCAGCCCGCGATCCCCTCGGCAGCCACCACGCAGCCCGCCCCTTCGCCACATTCGGTGCACCCCTCCTCCCAGCCTTAATGCATGTGCTTAGTCTGAATCTCATGTTGGGACTCGTACCGTGGAGCCGTCTACTCAATGCCAAAGGCTTCTTCCCCTGGCATATTTGGATCTGACTTATTTGCACTGAGGTTATCTAGGCTTCACTATTAATTGTGTTGTAAATGTTTGTCGGAAACGCAGCCAGTGTTGTGGGTTACAACACTAACCAGACGACTCTTTCCATCAGTGTTTTACTTGAATCGACACGTGCGTCCATTCCTCGGCTGGAACCTCTGCTTTGCGTTGTTCGGTAATTCAGCAGCAGTGTGCCGTTTTTTGCTTGGCCCCAGAGCTTCATTTTCCTGGCTTTTAGGTTTGTAAAATAAAAAGGGATATCTTTTTTTTATATTTTTCCCCCCATGAATTTGCCGAAAAATTACTGAGCTGTTCTCACCAACCCCCTCCCCCGCATTAGAATGGTGTTTACCAAACATACCAGTAGTTCAGCACTACAATTTGGAAATCTAGCTTTCAGCAGAGAATGGAAAGTTAGATGGATCAGTGCCCAAGACTGTTAATAGAGCTTTCTACAGATTCCCTTTTTATAGGTTATTTTCAGTGTAGATCAACATCCACGTCGCTTCTAAAACAGCCAAAAGTAATGGATCACATGGCTGTACCTTTTCCACCTACATGGGATGGGTAATTATTGTATATTAAAGTGTGATTCTTTCTTTTTCCTTAATGTTAATCTTCCCAAACTGGCCCCCTCTCACATACGTCCATAAATGTTGTCCTCCCACCGTGGTTGCGATGGCTGATTAGAGCGTGCTGTTTGATTTCTGCTACAGAAGGCAATGCGATTATAACAAACAACAGCTACTTTCCCTTTCCAGTCTTTATTTGTGTTTCCCTAAAATAGAGTTTGAACAAATATTTTAAAGGTGCGAAATTATTAGAAGATACTATTTGAAATGAATGTTATAGAAATATCTTGGCATAATGGCCACACAGTACTTTATTGCTTGGCAGACGAGAGAAGAGGTGTATAGGAAAGTAGCACATTAGTATTGGTGACTGCTTATTTCGCCCAGTATAAGAAGTGCAGTGTGTACAAAGAAGTATATTCTGAATACGTTATCCCCATGCATTTAGCACAAATAAATCATTGGGTTTCACTTCGAAGTGGAACACTGTGAGTCACTCTTTTCTTAAGACTGCAACATCTTTATTTTTGCTTTTCGGCAGTTACTGTTTTGTATTTTGGTAGTAAAGTGATTTTTACCACCTGTGTTTGCATATTTATATATGCTGTGGACGGAAATACCTTACCTAGAGAATGTATATTTTATGATGAGAATGTGTATCCGTTGGATATAATCAGAGGACTGAAAGTTAATTTATCAGTAATTTTTAAGAGTCCATGTTTTGTGACAACCATCTCTAATAGCTAGCTCTTTATTGAACACACTCCTAAAAATAAGGAACCATGACATTGTAGATATTTAATATTGTACAGTATAGAAACCTTCATTTTTGCCTTTGAATGCATATTTAAGAGTCACAGAAAGAAAAAAAGTCTTGTTGAATAATAGTGTTTCACTAGCATTTTAAGAACTTGAGAGTAAAAGCAACAATAGGATTTTTCACCTCTTCCTGCTTCCACCCCCTCACCCCCACCCCCAAACGGAGAGCGTCACTCCTCAGTTGTTTGGAAGAAATCGTACGTCTATATAAATTTTATTTATAATGTGTGTGTAATATACATAATCATAGTACAGTTCTCAAATAGGGGGAGAAGCTTGGCATATTATTACTGAGGCTTTAGGTTTTTAATATGATCAGACGGGGTCAGCTGAAACCCTAGGATGTCACCAGCAGCTCACTGTCCCTCCTGGTACATTGCCATTTCGCGGCATTCGGAGAGTAGGCAAACAATGTTTGCCCTCATGGTACATTTCTTGGTTTTTCTTAGAGGAGAAATATGGCCTATGTTTACAAGAATCTTCTACAAGATTATAGTCTTCAGTGCTGTTGGACAGTGTCTTGCACTCAAACGAGGAAGTCCATCATGTAGTGACCGTCCCTCTGCTGCCTATCAGTGTAGTGATTACCTCCTGAAAGCACAAAGGTCAGAACATCGCCGTCTGGAGAATGACAAAGCACTTGGAGTGAGCAAGTAGTTCCTGACCAATGCCTTTTAGAGAAGAGGTTCTTGGCATTCATACGCCTCCCCAGATGGAGTGCTGGGTCCCCTAGGCTAGTCGTTTCATTTCAAACTAGAACACAGCTCCTTCAGACGGCACCTTCTCACCATAAATCTAACGCCCTCTCCCTGCGGACATTCAGAACTGATAGAACAAACACTACTACTTTAAATTTATGCTGTTTCGTGTCTTTTTAAAGTGTTTTGTGACGCCGTGTGGAGCCTGCCGCACTTGGGCAATGCCTGCCAAGGCAGATTCAGACCCCGAGCTCAGAGAGGCAAGAGCCCCCCCACCCATGGGAAGCTGACTCACCTCAGCCGTTTCTCCTCGGGGCTGACCGTGGTTACTGCCATTCCTGTTGCCCACTCGCCCAGGGTAACTCGGGACTGACTCCCGGAAGGCCTTTGTAAAACCCGTAGCCATCTCGAAGGCCAGCGGGAGCAATAGTAGCTTCAGTAGCTTCATTTTCCTGTCTTGCTGACAGAGACCCTTGGCTACCACTGTGCTGCTAATAGGATAAGTACTTCATTGCCAGGTTACCATGCCTTCTACGCGAAACCAAATTCGCTTACCTGATACCTGACACTTCTCTGGGCTCTGACCTGCTTTTCTCTCAAGAGCATGCTGGCATTTCAGGCAGAATTATAGAAATTTGCAGATGGTGGAAGTATTTAAGATTTCATTCACCTTGCTCCTTCGTTGATTGAAAGGAGCCTTAAATGCTGAGCTCCTGAGATACTGACCACAACCATGGAATGAATGTGTGACCAGAATGTGGCTTTGACACCAAGTGCTGCTGTCCCTTTGTAATTGGCTTCTGATTTGACCAGAAATAATTGACAATGTGAATTTTTGTTACCTGTTCAATTGTAGGACAATAGAATATGTATCACCCTTTGTTAGGTAGGCACAAACTTCTCCTGCACGAAGCCTTGCTTGTAGAGGGTGCCCAGTAAGACAAGAAAAAAAAGCATAGTAACTTGTGCTTCGAGAGCTCAATATTTTTATCTTAATCAGTACAGAAGAAATTTCTCTGTGTAACTTGATCTTCTGTCTAGTACTTGTCTTTTAGGTAACCAACACTGAAAACTTTGTAGTGATGACTACCAAAGAAATACATAGTAAAACAACCTTTTATTTCCAAATTATTAAAGAGCCAGCCATTGACGCTGCTACATGAGTTCCATGCTCAAGAGCCATTGTAAGAAATGAGGGGTTTTTAGGTTTTTGTTTTGTTTCTAGTTTTCTTTATTTCTCTTTAATTTTTTTTTTTAAATATAAAACATACACACACAGCTGTTAGCATAAAATTATGGGGAGCGTTTTCCAGAATGCTCAGCAGTTGTGGTTAACTGCCAAGTCCTGGTTGCCTCTCGTCAGGCAATTGGAGGAACCCTATGTTCATGGTGGTGTGGGTGCTGTGTGTGTGCACGTGTGCGTGTGTGCATTCATGCCTTAACTCGGGTTACTGCTCAACTTTAGTTCTTGACTTAGTCTGCACCGTCATCTAGATTGTATTGTACATCTCGATCTGAACTTCATCCTGGCAAAAACAAAGCTGCAGGCACAGCAGTTCCAGAATGCATTCCTCCGGAAGCGTATTCGGTCAGGCTGACCCTGAGGCTGCTTTGGACTTTATTTGGAACTGAGCATGGAAAGCAAAGTGGACTGTCAAACAGAAAGACATCAGCAAGGAAGAGAAGAGAGCCAAGTGCTAGCTTGTCTTTTGCCTCTGCACCTCTGTGCACACTGTGTGTTCATGACAGCTGGTCTACAACTTGATGAGGTTGGAGTTCTGTAATAGTGGCAATCTTGACATTCTTGGTCAGAGTGTAGAGAGATGTAAGACTTCCAATTAATGTCTTATTTACTTCTTTATGTTGATTAGTCTTTGATACATGTGCTGAATCAGAAACCTAAATAAAGATAATTTTTTAAAATGTACCTTGTGAGCCTTAAACCTTATTTCTGTTCTTTGAGTGGGAAAATGAACATTGTTTCCCTGTTGCTTCTGATATCAAATTTAGATTCTAAGTACCAAAGGCTGCCTTAGAAAGTAAACTTAATAAGAGAACACAAAGGGGCTGGTATTGTTCTGTTTCTTTCTTTATTTTTTTAATCTTTACGGACATGCTTAGAGGAAGAGAGAGAGAGAGAGAGAGAGAGAGAGAGAGAGAGAGAGAGAGAGAGAGAGAGAAACAATCAGTTGCCTTCCATATGCTCGCCAGCTGCATTTAAGGGCCCAGCGGTTAGTCCTGAGGGGCAAGCACGGTACTTAGCAGGATGCTGTCTTAGGAGCATAGTGTTCAGGAAACCAGTTGTGATACCATGTTAGGAGTTCAAACGGTTTAACCCTGAGCCCCTTTCTATGTAAAAGTGCTAAATAAATCTTGAGCCAGTCTTGATCGACTCTGGCTTAAGCAGGATTCCACGGTAACTATCATAGTTAATTGAGTGAGTTTTAAATTTGGTTACTCATGTGGTGAATTGAAATGACCAAAATTTCAAAATGCTTCTCTACTCTTGGCAGCTAGACTTTAGTGATAACTTGAAAAATGTTGACCAGGAAGTTACCCAGGACCTCAGATTTCCAGTCTTACTTCCACCCACCAGCTTCGGTTTTCTGGACTGTGTAACAGAGATAGCCATTCTGGTTTCAGGTGGAGTTGAGAGAAAACAGGATTTGCACCAGAAGCTTTAACAGCAAATAGGTAAAGTTTAAGCTGCACGAGCACTTGTTTTCCCTTTAATGCCTTTTAGAGCCTGTGTGTTCATCCACATGTTTCTTCTAAAATGGAAATGGTTGGTTTAGCAAATGTTTTGTGTTTATGTAAAACTAAGTAAATCTGGGTTCTTGTTTTAACAAACACATAAGCTATTTAAGTCAAGGAAATTTTTGGAAATGCAGTTGTATTCAGTCACCAATGTCTAATCCAGGCCCAAACTTTTAAACCTTTCCTTTAGAAATAGAGGAAAAAGTCAGTGCGTGGTCAGTTATGGTTTGTGTCTGATGTTTATGTTGACATGAGAAACTTATTTCCTGTTCCTTAAGTTTTTCTCTTCACTTGCATATCACCCCTAATTCTAAATTACATTGAACTAAATATATTTAGATCTTTTTCTAAAGATCTTATTTTTAATACCCTACTAATGACAATGCAACTTTCAAGATTACTAATTATCCCAAAAAGTGATCTTAGTAATTGATCTAAAACATCCTCATTTTAAAAAAGAAAACCAAAGTTAGACACAGCCCAGAAGTGAAGCAGGTGATAGAATTAATAGACAAAGATGTGAAAATACCTGTAATAGACATTTTCCATGGGTTAAAGAAGGCAGAAGAAAGCACAACCATGTAAGAAAAATGGAAAGTGTAAAAAAAAGACAAATTGAACTTCTAGAGACAAAAAAAAAAAAATTACAATAGCTGAAATTTAAAGCAACAAAAAACTTGCTTTAAGCCGTTTGTGCTCTTTAAATGTTCCTAGGGGACTTTAAAAAGGCAACTCCTGGAATTCAAGTTAAGTCTAGTTGACATACTTTTCTCCACCTGCCCCCCCATCCCCACCCCTACTGGGGATAGCCCTGCCTGGCTTGAACCACTATCGGGAATTGTTAACCTCAGGAACTGACTGACTACTCCTATTAGTCACTTTAATGTTGGGCACGAAGACTCAAGGTATAAGGTCGCCAAGTAGAAAATGTCCATGAGTTCAAGTCCAGTCTGGGTCAAGAGTTTTCTGAGCTTCAGTTTCTTCACCTACAAAATAAGAATGAGAATGGGGTCATTAGGGTCCAATGAACATACTGTTAAAACTTTATAGAGAGTATTAGGTTCTTTGCATGGTAACTTCTTAACTATTTCCAATATAATTGCATTCATTCCACAAATATTTTTTAAACCTGTATTATGCCAGCCATTGTGTATAGTACCAGGCATGCGGTGGAGGGTAAGAAGGCCACTGTTCCTCTCTTTGGTAGCTTCCAGTTGACACCTGGTGTCAGCATTGTGGCTGTGGAAACAGTGCAGCAGGATCCCTCAGCATTAGGAGAGAGGAAAGGTCAGAGACGTCTTCCAGAGGAAACGGTCTTTACGCAAATTCTTGAAGAAGAGGTAAGAATTAAATGAAGAATTATCAGGGGCAGAGGAAACAGCATGTGTGAAACCTAGAGGTCAGAGCACCCCTCCAAGTGATGGTTGGGTTCCCGGAACACAGACTGACACAGGACTTGGTGTAGGAAGCTTGCTTGAGAGATGATGCCAGAAAGTAGAATGAGAAAGTGGAAAAATGAGACAAGACCAGTGAAGGATGTGTTGATGAGCCTGTTAGCATGGTGGGCAACTGGAGTTATCCCATGGGGTCTCCCCAAGGAATAATTTAGAAGGGGCCTCAGAATTGTACCCCCAGAGGACAGGAATGCTGGGACTTGGATACACAAACTCCTTCACCTATTGGTGGGAGGTGCTCGTGGGAGAATGACCCCCACATTCAGATTTTCTGAATTGTGCAAGAGGCTTCCTTGAAAGCCTGCAGTAGCAAAGCCAAGGGAAGCCACCCCAAGTTTGATGAGGGATGCTGGCAAGGTGCATGAGTGTTTGGTGAAATTAGGTGGGCCAAGGGGGTGTGATGCATTCCATCAGGTCTGCTATAGGTGGGTGGCTTGGGCACTAAATACCTCTCACCATCATTTATTTGGTTTGGCCTGAAGTATTCATGCACATACACAAAAAATTTCCCCCAAGAATGAAAAAAAAATGTAACATGCTTCATTTCCCTTTTTTTCCTCCCCAAGCTTTATCAAGAAATAATTGACATCTAACATTGTGTAAGTTTAACACATACAGTCTGATATATGTGTATATTGCGAAAGAATTACCATAATAAGGTTAGTTAGCACATCCATCACCTTTGATTTGAAACGGTGATTTTTATTTTTTTAAAAATTCAGATTCTTGATTTTTCTTGAAAAAGATTGCAATAGGGCCTTACCCCTTCAAGCACAGTGGTCACTCTGCCCACAGGTGAGTAGAGTGTGGTTCCTGCAGGCTTTTGAGTTTGTGAGCTGCTAGCGTAGGGTAGTTGTGGAATGAGGGAAGATTGACAAGGCTAGAATTTTGAATAAGCAGGAGAAAGAGAAAGGAGGGAGGAGAAAGGGCTGAGAGGTGAAAATTAAGGCGCGTTTGGAGGAGGCCTGCCTGGGCAGTTCCTAGCACAAGTCCAGCTAATAATAAAGTGGAATGTCGATTCCCTAAACTAGGTGATGGATACCTGAGAGTTTGTTATACTAGTCTCTACTTCTGTATGTTTAACATTCCCGTAATATAATTTTTAGAAATGGAGAGGAAGGGATCAAGAGATTTCTAAGAATGGAAAGGAAAAATGGAGTCTTGGGAAGGTCAGTGCTAGAGATGCCACCACTGAAAATTCTAATTTTTGCAAGAAGGCAGCTAAATATACTTTTAAGAATAGTTTCTTGATTTTTAGAGAGAGAGGAAGAGAGAAGAGAGAAACATTGATGTGAAAGCACAACGTCAATTGGCTGCACACTCCCCACCATGGATGGAGGCAGCAACCCGGACAAGTGCCCTGACCAGGAATCCAACCAGCAACCTTTTGGTGTATGGGACGACATCCATCCACCCGAGCCACTCCAGGCAGGACCAGGCAGCAGTATTTCATATACCTCCCTCCAAAATGAGAGACAGGTGAGAAGTTGTTCTGAACTGAGCATAAATTTATGGGTTTGTGAGTTGTTGACTCTGGGTAACTGGATTGGCATGATTGATGTCCTGGTGAAGTTAAACTAGAAAATGTTCTCTTTTTTGTTCCCAACTACGCATTTCCACAGGTAATAAGTCTGACATGGTCCGGGCTTCCCTTTCGCTTGGAAAAGGCCACTGATTGCAGCTGTCCTGTGGGGTTCCGATTTTTTTAGCGAAGATGTGATGTTGCTGTCATTACGTTTTGGGTTGACTTTATAGAACTTCAGGACCATAATAGGGTTAGGGGTATTCAAAAAGGTACCTCAGTAATGAGGCTTCCAAAAGAAACAGTCTACACTTAAGTATGGAATGAGACCCCATTAGTACACATGAGTTTAAAAAAGTGATTAGGGAGAGGAAATCATTGGGTTTTATTTTACTTGGACTCAATCTCTTTGTGGAAATCTGAGATTCAACTTTTGGGTATTTTCTCTGTGGTGGTTGTGCATGATTCAAAATTTAAAACTTTTTAAATTAAAAAAAAAATTTAAATGTCCACATGGGTGTGGGAAACACATTCCTGATGCTCTGAGCTCCATCTCTAAAAGAATCATCACATACTTAATCTTGGCTATTAAATAAAGCGTTCACTAAAAGTAATTAAATAGATGTAGGATGGGGAAAACCTGTAACATTCTCTCCTCTCCTCCTAACTTCTTTTTAAGGGTAAATTTGTTCATTTGACATGGTTCTAGTCTAGGACAGGGACAGTTGAGCTATATAACCAACACAAGTTTGATGACATTCTCCTGGTGCCCATATTTCTAGCCATCTTCCCTTCCTAATCTGAGGAGCTCCCTCTTCCAATTCCAGACCCTCATCTGAAAAGAAGTTCTTAATTCCTTTTATTTCCTTGGTCATAAAAGATACTTTAGACCAGTTCTGCCCAGCCATCAGGAGTTGATTTGCTGAGATGGAAACCGTAGCAGCTTGGAGGGGAAAAGTAGTGATTTCATTTGCAAAGCAATTAAATACCAAGTGATTTTTTCTCTCTTACTCTGTGTGCTTTAGGAAAATAAGTACCTTACATTGATGTTAAGATCCTAATTGTTAAATACGTTTTATCACCATTCAGACAAAGCGCAGGTTATTCATGTTAATTGGGCCCATTTTATGCGTTGGAGAGTCTCTTCCAATGTTAGAATAAAAATACCCACATTTCAAACTCAGAGCCAGGTTTGACTTGAAATTCCTATGAGCCTGCACCAAGAGTTACATTTTTCTTTGTGTTTGCATCATAAATGGAATTATCTATAAGCATGTTTGAGCCCGTTTTTGTCTCTGAAGGAAAGTTTCGCTTATATATAAACAGGGTGCCAACACTCATCTCATCTCTCTAGGTTAATCAGTTTCTAAGAATTATACTTCTTGAAGATTTACCCCCTGGTCCAATCTGATTACAAGGAGACCAGAGTAAATTCATTTGATAGGTGTGGCTTCTTTTTTTTCTTCTTCATCAAAACATGCTTTTGTTGTAGCTACTTATCTATATCTTCAGAGGATGGGCACTAGGACCTGATTTCAGATACTGGCTCTGACACTGAAGTCCTTGGGTAAACTGCATCCCACTTGGAGTCGTTTCATCTTCCTCGTCGAGTGTGTGGAATAAATGTGTCACTATATAGAAAGTTCTTACAATAGGGACTTAGAACTCAGGACAAGTTAAACTCTCAATATATGCAGGCTGTTACTATATATTCCTGCATTCCATGGCTTTACAGCCCCAGGACTGTGCTGATGATAGATGTCAAATTAGCTTGTCATATCCCTAAGTTTTTCTTGGTCAACATTCACTTTCTGAAAATGCAATTTCACAAAAAGACAATTTCGTTCTTCAAAAACTGACCTTTTCTTTTTCTTGGCAGTAGTGGTGAAAAGATGTCAGATTACCTTTCAGAACTTTTCTGTTTTGTCTAATCTGATTTGGAACGCTGTACTTCTGTGCTTCTTCTTATCAAGTTCTCACCTTGAAAAGGTGGTGACATATCTGATAGGCTGGGCCAAACGCTCCACCATTTGCTTCTATCAGCTACACAACCTTCCCTCAACTTGCCCAGAAATTGAAACCGGGTGGGGCGGAGACACTGCACAAGAGTTTGATAACTGATCGTTGTCACTTCCTCCTTTTTGTCCCCCACATGCCCAAGCCAGTCTCATCTCTTTAAAAGTCCTGGGCTGATTAAGGACAGGAAGTTAATTTCCTGATAAGTGTTATCAAGGACCAAAGGGCAGTTCCTTGCGGGCACGTTGCCAGTTACCTTCATTTGCATGAGCCTCCCTGCAAGACACCAGTCACCCTTCCTCCAAGAGCTCCGCAGCCACCCTGGACCCTGTGTAATCCGCTAAGTACCAACGAGATCAGGCTCTCTCCCACTCCCGCTGCATTTGCAGGGATGTCTGGAGCCTGGAGTGTGAGGAACACTTCCTTCTGCTGCTCCAAGGGCAATTGGAGGGGCCCTGAGCTTGTGAGAAGGGGATGTGTTGCTTCTTGAATTTTATTGTTTGAGGATTTGCTGGGTTTTCTTACTAACTTCAGGGACTCTCATTCAACATACAGTTATCAAGCCAGGTTCTACTTAATATAAATAAGTCAATAAACAAACAAACCTCCAACCAGCTTTTTGAAATGAAATTGGGGGAAAGATGCTTAAAAACAGCTTGAATACACAATTCCATAGGGTGTTTTTCATCTCTCTCCCTCCTTTTTTTTTTTTTTTTTTAATACATGTCCAAGTCTGTGACTTTTTTTTTTAAACATGTTTTTGTTTTGTTTTCCTTCTGTGATCTTCTATAATTTTTTTTAAAATATATTTTATTGATTTTTTACAGAGAGGAAGGGAGAGAGATAGAGAGTTAGAAACATCGATGAGAGAGAAACATCGATCAGCTGCCTCCTGCACATCTCCCACTGGGGATATGCCCGCAACCCAGGTACATGCCTTTGACCGGAATCGAACCTGGGACCCTTCAGTCCGCAGGCCGACGCTCTATCCACTGAGCCAAACCGGTTTCGGCATCTGTGACTTTTTTATTCATGCCCCCTACCCACTGTAGCCAAAGTAGAAATACCAGGGGCCCCAACTCTGGGTTACACCCTCCAAGTCCCCTACCCCAGACACCCAGAGATGTATGAAGTGCTGATGTGTGATGATGGTCTGGGGAAGGCCAAAGGGACCAAGAGCCCCAACCCTGGACCCGGGCAGCAGCAGGAGAATTTTCCTCTGGAGGGAGAGCAGGGAGAGCCTCAGGTACCCAGAGTGCTCGGGGGAAGCAGGGCCTGCCACCACCAGCCCTGGGGTTGGGGGATTGGGAAACTCCATGCAGTTCCTGGGCTGGAGGGACACGAAAAAGGGAGCCTTCAGCATGTAGCCTTAAGAGGGTGGGGATGGGGACAGAGGGTGCTTCTGAACCCTTGTGGAGGGAGAACTGGTGGGAAATGGAGGAGGCCTTGGGTATCTCAGAGAATGGGGTAGCCCCTCTGGTGCTAATTCTGGCGGAGCTGGAGGCCAGCCCGAGTGGCCATCTCCAATACCTCCCACACCCCCATCTTGGGTCTTGGCTGAACACTCAAGGTAGCCGAAGGCACTGATCCTGGCCGTGTCCTGGCCTTCCTCAGACGGAGTGGGCTCCTGATTCACCTTGGCCAGCTCTCTCCTAGTCTTGCCTCCAGTCCTTCTTGCCCACGAAGATGATAGGCACATTGGGGCAGGCAGAGCGCTTCATTCACCTCCGGGGTCCCCTTCTCAGGAATGTTTCCCAGCTGTGGGCGCTGTTGATGAGGATGTCATTGTCAGGGTGGGAGAGAGGCTGGAGGTGATCATAGTCTTCCTGTCCTGCTTGCCCTCCAGCTCAGTGTCTATGATGTAGAGGATGGTAGGGGCCTGGACCTCGGGAACTGGTCCTTGCGAAGACCATGCGGAGGCAGGTCTTCCCGCTGGCCCCTCCCCCACAACCACAGCTTCTTTGGGACCAAAACCACCGGGGCTTCCTCCGCCACCTTCAGCTGTGAGGCTGGGGCTGGAGGCAGAGATTCTGCTCTTCATTTCTTATACTCAATGGCAGTGTTAGACTGCAATACTTTTTAATAGAAAGGTAAGACATAAACCTGAGAGATCTGCCTCCAGCAACAAAAATGGGTGTGAGGGGCAAAGTATTCAAGTTTGTATAACACTTTTGACATTAAAATAAATGGAACAAAAGGAATTTGCCAATGTGAGGTGACTTGAGGTAAGACAACGTTATTATTTTGGGTGTGGAAGCCCTAAAAGTTCAAAACCCCCCCCCCCCCAACCCCCACACCTCCACCTCCCTCAGTGCCTGAATTTTCCTTGTTGATCCTCTTTATGAGTTAAGAGCTGTGATGTGAAAGGCAGAAATTTTACCCCTGGGTAGGACCCATTTCCTGGATTGCAATGGAGTGTGTTGGAAAGTGCACCCACTTGGCCACTGGAGACAGAGTTTCAAGTCTCCCTCGGCCACTTGCTGATTCGCTGTGGCCCTGGGCCAGTTCCTCAGCGTCTCTTGGCATTAGGAGTCTAACTCTGAGTCTCATGCATAGAAAGTGCTCACATATTCCTTGTCTTTCTGTATCTTTCCCGTCCAAATTTCCTAAACCAGAAATCTGGGGAGCGTCCTTAACTGCTTGCAATCTCTTCCCACCCAATTCTAGCCAGGCACTAAATCCTGCCAATTTTGCCTGCTAAAGGCTGCTCAATCCTACTCGTCCCCTCCATTCCTGTCCCAAGTCACTTCAGTCCTTATCACTCTTGGGCTGTTGTAGAAAATAGTTTCCAGCTGCTTTTCTGCCCTGACCTGCTCCACTAACCCCAACCCCACACATCTTTGTAAAGAAAAGCTGACCACATTGGGCTCCTGCTGAGAATAGAAGCATGAGCCCCCAGCTGGCCTATAGGATGAAGTCTTTAATATAATAAAAATAGCAA